GCTCCCAGAGCATCGAGTCGTCGGCCCCGGCGGTGAACGTGCCGGGCCCACGCCGCACCATCTCCAAGCTCCGCAACGAGACCTACCACGTCTTCTCCAGCCTGCTCCCGGGCACCACTTACCTGTTCTCGGTGCGCGCGCGCACGGGCAAGGGCTTTGGCCAGGCCGTGCTCACTGAGATCACCACCAACATCTCAGGTGAGCGCCCGACCACGGCCCCAGGGAGTGGCCCCGGGGTGCGCAGAGGCCCCGTGCCCAGAGAACGTGCCACTCACGGGCTGCAGCCGAGAGTCAGGGGTCAGGAGAGAGTGGTCAGTGGGGTCAGAGGGTCGAGGTCAGGGGCAGAGAGCTCAGGTCAGAGCAGGCAGGGAGGCTGAGGCCAGGAAGGGGAAGCCCAAGGTTAGAGGTCAGGGTACCAAGGCCTCCCCTGTCCAGGGGCCAGGCTCCAGGCTCGTGTCCCTGTCCCCCCAGCTCCCAGCTTTGACTATGCTGACATGCCGACGCCCCTGGGCGAGTCGGAGGACACAGTCACCGTGCTGCTGAGGCCGGCCCAGGGCCGCGGGGCGCCCATCAGGTGGGAGAGCCTGGGCGGAGGGTGGGCGGCCGGGGCGGCCTGGGAGGGGCCCCTGCTCTGGCCCAGAGCTTCAGCCGGGCCGGCTCCCTGACCCTCTTGGTCTGCCATGCCGGCTGAGTGCCTGGGGGAGGGCTGGGCCTGGGTAGGTGGAAGCCCGTGCCCACTCCCCCTGAGGTCGGGGCTCTGACGGTGGCTGTCATAAGGTCTGAATGGGGCCCTGCTGGAGTGGGGACTGTCAGGCCTTTCCAGGGGTCTTTTCGACACTTGGGGAGTGACTTTCTGGAGGCTTATTCCTTGGAGACACCAGGGGCTTTCTAGAAGCCAGGCAGCTGCCAGATAGCCTGTCTCAGGGGCCGAGAGCAGGTCTTCTCTGCTTCGTTCTTCCATAGCGACTGGGGCTGCTAGGGTGGAGCAGCCGCCATTGCTCGGGAGAGGGTTGGTGTGCACATGTGTGTGGGTGAGCCTGGCACATCCCTGTAGAGTTGCGCTGCGTGGAAGTGTGTGAGTGGAGAGCGTGTGCCCGCGTGTGCACACGTGAAGGTGTGTGTGCATGTGTGTGGGGAGCCTGGCATGTCCTTGTCTAGTTGCGCTGTGTGGTGTGAATGGAGAGCGTGTGCCCGCGTGTGTGGGCGTGTCCTTGTGTAGCTGTGCTGTGTGGTGTGAGTGGAGAGCATGTGCCTGCGTGTGCACGCGTGAAGGTGTGTGCACGTGTGTGCCCAGGTGCTAGGATGCAGTCTTGGTGTAAGGACGTGTGTGTGTGAAGCCTTTGCCCGGCGCAGCCCTGCGGCGGGCCCCATTGCCTGTTGTACACAGGACTGGCTCTGAGAGCCCGCGCAGTGTGCCCGCGGTCACGTGATGGCGGACCTGGGACCAGCCAGGTCTGTGGGCAAAGCCTGCCTCCCTAGAAGTCGCAGCTGCCCCGCCCCCTGCCCTGCCCTGTCCTCAAAGGTGCAGGCCGGGTGGGGTCGTGAGGGACCAGGTGGCCCTCCAGAAGGTGGGTGCCCTTAGCAGCTCAACCTCTGGTCACCCCTCCCCTGCCGTGTCGGGCCCTGAATCCCGCCCCAGTGGACCCCGAGCTCTAGGGCAGACCCAGGAAGGAGTCAGGGCATCTGCATTTCCCTGGTGCCCCAGTGCCCTTGCCCGCTGAACCTGGGCAGAGCTGGGACCCTTCTCTCTGCTTGTCTTCTCCAGAGACCCTGTGGGGGCCTTTGGGGACGATGACGCCTCAGCGGGCAGGACATGGGGGTGGGCAGGATGTGGTGGCCGGGAGCAGGGCGTCTGTGTGAGCCCCTCTGCATGGCAGAGAGCATTCCAGGCCAAGGTGCTAGAAGCCGGGCTGAGCGAGGGGCTAGGTGGTGACAGGCAGTGTGGTCTGGTGACCAACACTCGGCTGACCCCTGCAACTTGGAAGCCCAAGAGAAAGCGCTCGAAACCGAGGAGAGGCTGTCGCGTGAAGCGTCAGGCATGTGGCCAGGGCTGTGATGGGAGACACGCAAATGTGGGGCACCCACTTTAGCACAGCTTACGGCTGCAGCGCGCCTGGTTAAGTGAGAAAAGCCCAGCAGCGTGGCAGTCCCGGTGTGCGAGCAGAGTGGTCGGCCCGGGCACAGGGCTCCCACTGCTGACCGGTCGCCCTGGCTTACGTGGCCCTGGAAACGGCACACGGAGGGCCCTTGGTTTTCTGGTGACCGTCTCTCCTGCTGGGGCTTGTTCCAGGAAGGCCGGATCCCTCCTGCAGTGCAGGGCCCTCATCCGCTCCGTAGACGCTTTCTGAGTGACCAGTGACTGCACGGCCGGGCTGACCTGGACCCTGCGGCCACGGAGGGCCCGCTGGCTCCTGGAGAGGCGAGGGCCCGGCAGCCAGCTCTGTGGAGCGGCCTGGGTTCTCCGGGTCAGCGTGGGCTCTGCCGAGGCCGGGCTGCCCCCTGACTGCTCCGTTTTTCGGAGGAGGAAGCCAGGGTCCAGGGAGGTCCGTTTGGTGCCTTGCCTGGCTAGTAGGGGCACAGCCCTGCGGCGGCCCCTTCCAGAAGCCCATGCCCTTAGCCAGAGGCCCTCTGCCAGGCCCCCTGAGGTCACGCGCTGTCCCTGCCTGTGCAGTGTGTACCAGGTGATCGTGGAGGCAGAGCGGCGGGGGGCGTCGGGGCGGCGGGAGCCGTGAGGCCAGGGCTGCTTCCCAGTGCCGCTGACCTTCCAGGCCGCGGTGGCCCGTGGCCTGGAGTACTACGTGGGGGCCGAGCTGGCGGCCAGCAGTCTGCTCGAGGCCATGCCCTTCACCGTGGGTGACAACCAGACCTATGGCGGCTTCTGGAACCCACCACTCGAAGCCAGGAAGTCCTACCTCATCTACTTCCAGGCAGCGAGCCACCTGAAGGGGGTGAGGCACCAGCCGGGCGGAGGGTGGCTGGGGTGCAGATGGCAGGCTGGGGACTCCTTCCAGGGGCCCGGGGTGAGACTGGACTCCTGAGACCCGCCCTTCCCAGGCTTAGCACTGCCCTCCTGAGCCTCTCCCCCGGCCCCTTCGTCTCCAGGTCCTTCCAGCCCTTGTCCCCCGCCTCACCCTTGTCCAGCGCTGCAGGGCCCAGCGTTTCTCTTCCCCAGGAGGGCCCGTCTGGGTTGGGTTTTCACACCAGCGGGCCTAGGCCCCGCCTCCTCCCAAGCCCCGCCCTCTCCCGCTCCTTCCTCCTATTGGCCCTCTGACCTAGCCCTGCCCACCTGAGGCTCCACTCCATGCTGCTTCTGCTGCCTGCTTTCCCTCCCTCCCTCCCTCCCTCCCTTTCTTCTTTCTTTTTCCCATAGAGCACTTGTGCTGGCCACAGAGAGACAGTGAGAGGGAAGATGAGAAATCACCCTCCCGGGGATGGCCATGCCACGATCCCGTCTCCGTTCTTTTCCTGGAATCTTGGGCACACACGCGTGCACACACGCGCGCACACACATGCCCAGGATGATTTTCAAGCTGCTGAGTGCAGGATTTGAACTGCGGTCGGCCATGTGGGAGTCCAGGGCCTTAACCATCACACCTGTTGGCCCCTCTGAAGTCTTTTCTGAGGCGTCCCATGTATAGTCGCTGCCCCTCTAGGCCCTGACCCCGGTCCCCGCAGGCCTGCTGGTGGGGTGCCCTCACAGACAAAGCCCTCTTCAGGCCTGCCCTCAGCTGACAGGCTCCTGCTGGGGAGGGTGGGGGCTTCAGCAGCACTGAGCCCGACTGTGCCTGCAGGAGACCCGGCTGAACTGTGTGCGCATCGCCAGGAAGGGTAGGTGCCGGGGTCCCTCAGTCCTGGGAGGGTGGCGCAGGGAGGGTGGCTGTTGGGGGCCTGTGCCTTCTTGCCCCCACCCCCCCACCCACCCCAAGGCTTCTGCCCAGCTAGAGAGCAGAGCCCACCCTCCCAGCCCTCCCACAGTGGCACAGGGGCCTGGCAGAAGCCTGTGGAGGGAGAGCCATGAAGATGGGGTCTTGGGCGGCAGTGGGCGCCCCATTGTGGTGGAAAAGAGATGGGGGTGGCATGGACCCCCATCTAGGGCTTGTCCCTGTGCTAGGATGCCCAGCCTTACCCTCGGTTGTGATATTCTCCCCATACCCTCCCAGGAGGGCAGGAGGGTGCCCACTCCCGGGGGCTTCGAGCGGTGCGGCCGAAGGCTGGGCGGAAATGCAGGCCATAGTGGGCTGGCCTCGACAGAGCAGACTGGAAGTCGGGCTCGTGGCGAGGGCGAGGGCGAGGGCGAGGCATGGCCTCCGCACCTGGTTCGTCCGGGGCGCAGGCCTGCTGGGCCTGACCTTGGTCCCCTGCATCTCCCCAGCTGCCTGCAAGGAGGGCAAGCGGCCCCTGGAGGTGGCGCAGCGGTCGGAGGACATGGGGCTCATCCTGGGCATCTGTGCGGGAGGGCTCGCCGTCCTCACCCTCCTGATGGGCGCCATCATTGTCGTCATCCGCAAGGGCTAAGTGACGCCAGAGGCTGGCCCTGTGGCTGCCGCCCCTCAGGGGCCTGCCTGTGCAGCTGCCCGGTGGGTGGTGAGGGCCGCCGGCCCGGGACTGGGCTGAGCATTGGGAAGGTCGCAGCGCGGCAGACGGAGCCTCCCCAGTGGAGGTGAGCTGCCCGCGGAGCGCGCTCGGGCTGAGGTGTGCTGGCACTGCCCTGCAGGCCTGACCGTGGCTCTGCAGTGACTGAGCAGAGCCAGGGCTCAGCCCCTTCACGTCAGGTGTCCCATAGCTCTTCCCAGGCCCCACCTTCTCGGCCTCAGCTTGCCTTGACCCCTGTAACTGGGTCCCTGAGTCCTGGGCCCAGGACTGAGAAACCCCTCCCATGGTCCCAGGGCCCCGGGCCGCCTGGCGTCTATGAGGGAGGCGCTTCTTCCTGCAGTGGGCAGGGCAGCAGGGCTCCTGCCTCCAGCGTCCAGAGAGCCGGGACTGAGACCGGAGTCTCAGACGTTTGACCGGTGGGCCTCTTGTGAGACTGGTCCCCGTGTGAAGGCTGCCCCTGGTCCACCCTGGGCCTTCTCATCCAGTGGTCGTTGATCTTCTAGAGCGACAGAAGCTTTAGGGACACCAAGGGCTCCTCTGTGAGCCGACACGTGGAGTGGTGCGGCCTGCAGCTCTGGCTGGAGGTGGGGTGGCAGCTCTGAGACTGCTCTGCCAGCCCTGCCTGACCCCCACGGCCCACCAGGCGGCCCTGGCACCATGAGGTCCAAGTGCCCTTTTTTTTCCTTCAAGAGAGATTTTTGCTATAGGGTGCATGCGCTCGCTGGAGAGACAGCGAGAAATCACCCCTGGGGAGTTGGCCACACCACAGTCCCTTCTCCTCTCGGGATTTTGAGTATGCACACGTATTGGCCTGGTGCGAGTTTCAAGCCACCGGGTCTGGGACTTGAACCATGGTCAACTACGTGGGAATCCAGCAACGTCACCATTACACAATCTGCTGGTCCCATGAAGGAGTCGGGCTTTCAGGTGCTTCAGGTGGCTTTGAGGTCCTGGAAATTCACCCCCGTGGAGAGGACTGGCCGGGGGGGGGGGGGGGAACCTGCCCCTGCAGAGAGGGCATTGCTCCCGGGACGTGAATCAGCCTCGGGCCTAACCAGCGTCCTCCACTGGGCAGTCCCCACCCAGGCTATCCCAGAAGCCCTCGATCCCTGCCTCCTTTCGGCCTGTCCTCTGTGAAGTCTGCGTTCTCACTCCAGCCCTCGGCATTGCCCTCTGAGCCCATATGACCTTTGGGGACCCCTGTGCTCCCCTGGGCTCCCTGGCCCGCCTCGGGTGTGGCAGGACAGCTGACAGCGGTGGGCGTTCAGGTCAGCTCCGGTGTGAGGAGCACTGGTGGAAGAGGCGGCTGAGGGCAGACAGTCACCCTGCAGTGAGCCTGCTGTGGGGGGCTCGTGGGAAATAGCGAGGAGCCGCCTCTGGGATACTGCAGGTCCCTACCCTGCCCTCATGTGGTCAAGCTGGTGCAGGCCTTGGGAGGGGCACAGAGAGGCCCCGTGCCAGAGTCCTGGGCCGGGCGCAGGCCTGAGGTCCACCATGGACCCGGCCGCTGACCCCCAGAGGGTCCCAGGGCCACACCTGCCTGGGGAACGCCACGTGGAGGGCGCCCCTCAGGCCAGGCAGGTCCCTGGTTCCACTCCCAGAGGCCCCATCCCCGACTTTCTGCAGCCCTTTCGCCTGCGCTCTGCACTCAGTGGGTGTCATCCCTGCCTCCCCGGAGCTCCAGGGGGCCAGGGATGGAGGGAAGGCCGGGGTCCAGCCCAGTGGAGTTGGCCCTGAGCCCTTCTCCCCTCCCAGCAGGCCCGGGGACGCCAGAGAGCTGGGCACAGGCTTCCCTTAGCTTCGCTCACCAGTGTGGGGTGTCATCCAGTGGGGAGAGGTGCCCGCTGTCTCAGAGGAGGGTGGAGGGCGGGTTCCCCTCTCTGCTGTACAGTGGGGAGAGGTGCCTGCTGTCTCAGAGGAGGGTGGGCTCCTCTTTCTGCTGTCCAGCGGGGAGAGGTGCCCGCTGTCTCAGAGGTGGAGGGTGGGCTCCCTTCTCTGCTGTCCAGTGGGGAGAGGTGCCTGCTGTCTCAGAGGAGGGCGGGCTCCCCTCTCTGCTGTCCAGTGGGGAGAGGTGCCCGCTGTCTCAGAGGAGGGCGGAGGCGGGCTCCCCTCTCTGCTGTCCAGTGGGGAGAGGTGCCCGCTGTCTCCGAGGAGGGCGGAGGCGGGCTCCCCTTTCTGCTCACTCCCCTATTGACCGGCGGCCTCACGACGTGCTTGGCACAGTAGGCCCGGGGTCCAGCGTGGGGCAGGGTGAGCACTCTGCCCTGTACCGGCTGGCCTGGAGCTGGGCGGAGCGCCGTGGGGGACACGAAAGACCCGTGGGCAGAGTGTGGCTGGCAGCTGAGCGGTCGGGGCAGCCTTCTGAGCCCGTGACATTTCAGCCGAGACCAGCGCAGTGCCATTTCTTCGTAGTCCCCTCTCCCCATTGAGGCCTCAGCCATGGCCCCAGGGCCTGACCTTCCCCTCTCCTGGGATGAGCGAGAAGTGCTGTGTGACCTGGAGCCCATTCCCTGCCCTCTCTGGGCCGCAGTGTCCCGTGTTCCTCTCTCTCTCCCTCGGTCTGTAGGGTCTCCTTCTGGAAGACCACACTGGTCCCTGTTGACGGGGCTGTGGGGGGTGAATGGAGGACCTTGGAGTGTCCCCCAGGCTGAGTAGGCCACGTCCCTTCCCTGCACAGTGGCAGGCCGCCTGGTGTGGCTGTCCTGGGGAGTGCACCTGCACAGGCCTTGCGCGGGGCACAGAGAGGCCCTAGGCCAGGCTCTTGGGTCAGGTGCAGGCCTGAGGCCTACTCAGGACGCTGCCGCTGCTCCTCAGAGTCCCAGGGCCACCCCTGCCCCTGTGACTGAGCTTCCCCACTGTGAACTCAGACCTGCTCTGAGGGGCTGAGGGACTGTGGGGCTTCACAGCGGCACCCTCTCGTAGCTGTGCCTCCGGTGTACACGAGGGGTTGCCTAGATGTCTTTAGTGAGCCCGCCTCAGGGGGAGCCCTCGTGCCCTCATCCCGCCTGTCCCTGTCTCCCCTCCTGGGCAGAGATGTGTCCTGGGGCTGTCCTTGGGGGTAGGGGGACCTGCAGGGACTGAGGTGGGGCGTCTGCCCTGGGGAAGCAGTTACCTGTGAGTGCGGGTGTGTCAACATGTGTTTGAATATGGTGTGTGTGTGTGTGTGTGTGCACATGCGTCCATGTCTCTCCGTGTGAGTGTGTCTATGGGGGTGCTGTTTGTGTGACTGGGTCTGTGTTTGTGTTTCTTTCTGTGTGTGTGTGTGTGTGTGTACGCATGTCTGCACATGTAGGAAAGCTCAGCCTCCCCCCGGCCTGCTCCCCACCCTCTCACTCTAGCGGCAGGCTCGGGGAAGATTTTGGAAGGGCCTGGAAGGGTCTCGGGTCTGGGCTCTTACCCCTGAGCCTGGCCAGCCCCTCCCCAGCACAGGGAGCGCCGCCTAGCCGGCCTCGCTGGGAGGGCCCCGGTCACCCCGTGCCGTTCTCTCTCCACACGCTGCCAGGAGAGATCACTACGCCTACTCCTGCTACCCGTAAGTAGCCTGTGGCCACGCTGTGGCTCATCTCTGGTGGCCTGGTGCATCGGCTGCTGTGTGGCTGCCCCTGTGTGGGTCCCTCCTGGCTCCTGCATCTCCCTCGTGCTCTGGCCTGGTCAGAGTCACCCGGTCTGAGCTGACCCTGCTGGATCCCCGGGAGTCACAGGGCCTCCTGAACCTCAGGGTCTCTCCACCGGGGGCAGCCCCTGGCTCAGGACTGACCTCAGGCCAGAGCCACGTCCAGGAGGTCCTCCCCGGGCCTGCACCGGGGCACCTGGCCGTGTGCACGCATGTGGACGTGTGTGCACAGGGCGTGGGGGTGGCCCCTGTGCGCAGACGGCTCTCGGGTCCCCACGAGCCCCTCTCCAGCCCCAGGGCCTGGCGCTCCCCCGGCCGTGTCCCGGGCTGAGCGGGTCTCACGGACTCCTCCAGGCAGCCCTGCAAGCTCAGAGCTATGGCACCCCCACTTACTGAGCAGACTGGGGCTCAGCGCGGTCAGGGGACAGGTGGGGGGGTCGCAGAAAGTGACAGAGCAGGGGTGACGACCCGGCCCGCCCACCCTGCTCCATGCTCAGTCCTGTCTCTTACTCTGCAAACCTTCCAGAACATTCCTCAGATGCCTGAGCTTGCTTTCCTTCCCAGGCCCAGACAGCTGGCCTGCCCAGGGGACGGCGGGTCTCTCACCCCCTCCTCCCGGGACCTGCGCCCCACACAGCTGTTTCCAGCAGCCGGGACTCCCGACCCCGCTGAGCCTGTCGCTGGTGCAGGACAGCTGGCCAGGTGGCTCCCCGTCCCTGTCACTCAGGTGACCCTTGAGCCCAAGCGCAGGACTATCGGGTATCTGTGAACCCCACCTGTTACCCGCACACTGAGAGCAGTGGGTGCCTGCAGGGGAGGCGTGTCCATGTGGTGACCAGGCCCCCAGGGCTCGCCGTTCAGCCAGCTGGGCCGGCCATCTGTCGTGGCCGTCTGTCGTGGCCATCTGTCTGTGTCCCGGTGTGCTGCTGTCCATCCCTCTGTCTGTTATCCTCCCCCTCTGCGCTGCCCCCTTCTCTGTGTTCTCCCTCTAGGGGGCGAGGTCATGGCCCGGGCCTTCCCTCCCAGTCCCCGCAGGCACCTACCTGGTGGAGGGCTGGCGGGAGGCTCAGACCTGCTGGCCGTCCCTTCCCAGCTGAGAAGGCTGTGCCCACCTCGGTGCCCGGCAGCAGGACCCAGCACAGACAAGGCTGTCGTCTTAGCTAGGAAGGACCCCCTGGTCCTGGTGGGCAAGTCCAGGGGGTGTCCTGTCCTCTGCGCCCCAGGCAGCTGAGGGGACAGGCGTGCCCATCTGGGAAGATCCTGTCCTTGGCCTCTGGTCCCCGTGGGTGACAGGTGTCCCTGAGTCCTCGTAACTTGGAGGTGCCTTGTCGGGTCTGACCTGCGTCCTGCCGCTCGAGCCCGAGCAGGTGGACAGCTCTCCACTCTCGGGCCCTCCCTGTGGCTGGACCTCAGGCTCAGCCTCCACACTCATCCTGGTCCTTTGCGGTTTCTTGGCCCTCAATCATGGAGCTGCATCCCCCCACCCCCGGTTCCCCCAAGTTTCTCCAGAGTCACAAACTCCATCCTCGGCTGTAAAGCTGGGCCAGGAGGGAGGGGGCTCTCACTTTCTCCCCAGGGTGGACTGGCGGGAGTGGGGGGATCTGGGCCCTTTGCAGGGCTATGGGGTCCATGACGGGCCCAGCCTGGCTCTGGCCAGAAGCCGAGGTTGGAGTTCGTTCTGGCTCCTGGCTCCGGAAAGCCCTGAGCCTTGCTGAGCACTGGGTCCCGAGGAGTGTAGTCCCCACTGCAGGGGCTGAGATCCCAGGGCAGGGAGAAGGAGAGGCGGGAGGGGAGGGCAGAGCCAGCCGCTTTCCACCCACCCAGCCCTGGGGACAGCTCAGGACGACCTGGAGAATAAACAGGTTCCAGCCCAAGGCAGGTCCCAGCCCAAGGCCACCCCTGCTCTGTCCCTTGCTCTCAGGAGAGTCCCCAGGCAGGGCCCTGCCAGCTTCCAGCCCTTTTTGGGGAGGAGCAGCTCATGGGGTCTGGTGTGCCAAGGATGGAGGCAGAGCCCCCCCAACCCCTGGCACCCCGAGATGCTTCCAGGACAGCGCCTGCTCCCGGCTTCAGGACCCCGGCTGCTGGGCCTCCACAGCCACCTCGGGTGCCACCCAGCCCCGCTCAGCGCCGTGTCCCCGTCACCCCATCTGCTGAAAGCCGGCGAACATGACCAAGGCCACCGCCAACTACCGCCAGGAGAAGACGCACATGATGGGTGCGGCGGACCGGAGCTTCACGGACCAGAGCACCCTGCAGGAGGATGAGCGGCTGGGCCTGTCCTTCATGGACGCCCACGGCTACAGCCCCCGGGGTGAGCCTTCCCGCCCTCCCTGCCCCACGCTCTGGGCCCGCCCCACAGATGGGCCTGGGACACCAGCTCCCGGCAGGAGCACCTCCCGAGCTCCTGTGGGTCGAGCTCTGGCACAGGGAGGCAGGCACGGGGTCCTGGAGGCGTGCACCCCAAACTCTGCAGCGTAAGAGGACCTGAGATCCAGCCAGGCAGGTGTGGGGAAGGTGTGGGTGCTGGCGTGAGCGGGCAGTGCCTGGCCCGCGAGTCAGGACACTGGCCATGCTCCCGGCTGCGGCTCCCCCAGACATGAACGTCCCCGAGGCTCATCCAAGTTCCCGTGCCTGTGTTGGGTAGCGCCTTGTCCCCAAACAGCGCGTCGTGCAGTCTTGCTCATCTTCATGCTTTAGAGAGATCGAACCGCCCTCTGCCCCCACCCACCTGACGTTTGGCCGGGCTCGTTGATCTCCGAGTGGTTTCCGTTGTGTGACCGCGTCGCTGGTCACCGCTCCGTCCCTGTCTCGGGCGGACTCCTGCAGTTTCTAGCTTTCTTGCAGTTGGAAATGAGGCTGTGGGAATGCCCTTCTGTGGGTCTCGGGGGTATCTGCAGGGAGGTTCCCGAGGAGGGGTTCCTGGGTTGCAGAGCTGGTGTGCGTGTTACCTGTGTTTTTGTTTGCTTTGGGGTGCACGTGTTTGCCAAGAGACACAGAGACACAGTGAGAAGTCACCCCCCGAGGATGGCCATGCCACAGTCCCTTCTCCACTCTCTCCTTGGGTGTTCGTGCACACGTGCCAGGCGGGATTCCCAAGCTGCTGGTCCCAGGACTCGAGCCATGCTGTCAGCCATGTGGGATCCAGCCACCTTCTCCTCCATGTCACTTGCTGTATGAGACAGGGCCAAGGTGTTCCTGAAGTGGCTTGCAGGGTTTCTTCCCTCCTGGTGAGGTGTAGGCATCCTGTTGTCCTGCGTTGGGTGCAAGTTTGGAAACCCTTCTACTCCGCCAAGTGCTTTCTAGAACAGACGGTTCTCTGTGGCTCTAGCGGCTTTTCTCCGGTCACTGACGGCTGAAGAGTTTTGCAAGTCATGACTGGCCACTTGGGTCTCTCTGTGAGATGCCTGCTTTTAACGGGCTTCCTACTGAGTTTCCTTTGCTTTCTTAGTGGTTTTTAGGAGTTTATGTGTTTAGGAGAATAATCATTTGTCACTTATGGATTGCAAATATGTTCCCCCAACCCGTGGCTCCTCTCTCTGGATTACCTATAGTGTCTTTGGATAGCCAGTAGGTTTCTCAGACACGAATGGTCAAACCCGTGGCTCCTCTCTCTGGATTACCTATAGTGTCTTTGGATGGCCAGTAGGTTTCTCAGACACGAGTGGTCAAACCCGTGGCTCCTCTCTCTGGATTACCTATAGTGTCTTTGGATGGCCAGTAGGTTTCTCAGACATGAGTGGTCAAACCCGTGACTCCTCTCTCTGGATTACCTATAGTGTCTTTGGATGGCCAGTAGGTTTCTCAGACACGAGTGGTCAAATCTATCAGTCCTTTTCTTTGTGATTTTCACTCTTTCTATTTTCTCAAAGAATTTCTTCTTCATACAATATTTTTTACTCTTGTCTAAAACTTATAATTGTACTGATTTTACATTTAAAGCGTATTTTCTTCACGGTTGAGAACATGTGTGCGTGCACCTGACAGAGAGACACAGAGACACGGAGAGGGCCGAGGGGGACACCTGCACAGGGTCCGGCTGAGGCCCCGCCCCCAGGCGTGCAGGGCTCTGGGCTGCGGGGCCTGCTGTGTTTTCAGGCGTCCCGGAGCTCGGGACCTGGTCAGCCCTGAGGCCTCAGCAGCACAGGTCCGCACGTTACCCACGCCCGAGGCCTGAAGTTTCCCTTGCTTTAAGTAATGATTTCCGGTTTGCACGTGCTCATGTGATCATGCACCTGCGACAGGCCTTTGCGGGCTCTGGCGTGGCCTGGGCGAGTGCAGGGGAGACACGTGTCCGTCCTCACTGAGCGCTGCCCCGTGTGGAGCACGTGTGTTGACCGCCGTCCTGTTAGTCGCTGGGGTGTGAGTTAGACTGCCCTGTCTCACTCCACTCTCCGACAGTGCCCACAGCTCTCCCATTCACGTGCAGGCTTTCTGTGTCCATGAAACCTTTCTCCTGGAATCCGCCACTGCTTTCTCTGTTTCTTTTTTAAATTTGCTGGAGGGCACATGTGCTCACCCGACAGAGAGAGAGAAGGGGTGGGGTGGGAGAGTGAGCGCACCCCAAGGGGGGATGGTTGCTCCGCAATCCCTGCTCCATTCTCCTCTTGGGATTTTTGGCCTGCCTGTACACGCACCCGGGTGTGTTTCAAGCCACTGAGTCCGGGTCTCAGACCACATGGTCAGCCATGTGGGACCCAGCTGCCTTACCCCCGTGGCCCGCTGCGCACTGCCCCTACCTCCGTGCTGTTGCGTCCTCAGTCTCTGCCAGCGGGACAGGTCTGTGTGGCCAGGGTCGGAGGTGCTTGTCTCCCCAGCCTGCGGTCTCCCTTGGTGTCGCGCCTTCCGCTCTGTGTGGGAGTGCAGTCCTCTGCACATGGGGGCCGTGGTCCCCTACCCGCTCCTCGGTCGCGGCGCTCAGGAGATGCTGTGAGTTCGCTGTCGTGGGCAGAACATGGACGGGCGAGTGTCTCCGAGGGCGCGACTTCCGCCCTCTGGCTGTATACCCCACGGTGGGGCTGCTGACCCATGCTGGTGGTTCTATTTCTGGGTCTTGGAGACACCTCCCCCGTACCCCTCGGTGGCTGTGCTGACTACACGCCCACCGGGTACAGGCCCCCCATCCCGGACCCCTCGGTGGCTGTGCTGACGTACACGCCCACTGGGCACAGGCCCCCCATCCCGGCCCTCCTTGGTGGCTGTGCTGACTACACGCTCACTGGGGTACAGCCCCCCATCCCGGCCCTCCTCGGTGGCTGTGCTGATGTACACGCCCACCGGGTACAGGCCCCCCTTTGTGGGCACTTGCTCTTCATTTCTGGCCAGTGCGTTTGACCGGGGTTAGGTGGCCCCACACTGTGACTTCGATTTATATTTCCCTTCCAGTACGGGAGTTTGGACTGTCCTTCACCAATTCTGGCCACCCACTCGTCCTCCTTTGGGAGCTGCCAGTCCGGGTCGCTCGCCTCTCTGTGAGTGGCTCGTCAGTGTTGGGGTGATTCCTATCTGGATCTCACGGAAGCTTGCCGTGCCCCGTTACGTGGTCAGTGTTAGACGCTGTCCCGTGTGCTCCGTGTCCGGAGTGGAACGTCCTGGCCACTGGTTATGTATCGCTTGACGCCGGTGCCTGGCTCGTTTCCGTCTCGGTGACCTGCCGCTGGTGAGTGGGCTGTCGAAATGCCCACGCCCGATGTGTCTGTCCCTTTCGTAAGGTCTCATGGCCTTGGTCGTCTATATTTGGCTGCCCGACGTGGGGAGCATCGGTACATACAGGGCTACAGCTCCTTGCCGAGGTGGTCCTTTTTGGACGATGCGATCAGCTCGTTGTCCCTTTACGCAGGTTTTCCCCTGCCGGCCGCTCTCCACTGTTAGGACGGCTGCGTCAGCGGTGCGTGGTCTCCGTCACAGGAAACGAGGCCCACCTTGCACTCTGAATCTGTGTGTGTCTGCCAGTGAGCTTTGTTTTGCGAGCAGCATTTGAAGGGCTGCAGCTTTTTTGAAGCCATTTAGCCGATCCGATGTTCTACCTGGAGAGGGGCTGGGTTTCCTCAAACCGAAGGTTTGGTGCCCGCGGGGGCTCCGCTGGGGGGCCGCTGAGCGAAGGTACCAGCTGAAAACGTATACGACCGCAGGCTTGGGTGGGTCGCGCCTGGGAGGGTGCAGGTGTGGGCTAAGAAGTGTGGCTTGGTGGCTGGTGGGTCACTTAGCCATCGTGTGCAAATGCTGGAGCTGGCGGGACCTGGCTGCCCCAATGCCTGGTCCTCTGCACAGCCCTGCACTCTTGCGGGTGATTCAGTGAGGCAGGAACAGCAGGGCTGCTGCTCGGCGTGGGCTGGCATGCTGCACGTCTGCGATGCTGCTAGGAACTGCTCGTGCCTGCTCCAGCCGGGGTTGGAGGTGGGGCTGGGGCTGCTGTGTGTGCTGGCTGAGCCAGGGCCAGCCTGGGCCCTGCGGGAAGTGTGCACGCCTGGAGTTCAGGCCGTGCGGTTGTCCTGTGGGTGCTGGCTGCGTGTGTCCCCCCACCAGCGTCACCTGTGCGCCTTCGCAGCTGGGGGCAGGGCTGGAGCTGCTGTGTGTCTGCCCGCCCGGGCACGTGGCTGCACGTGCTGGCACAGACTGGGCAGGTTGCTGGACAGAGGGACAGACTGTGGCTCAGTGGGAGCTGCTGTCCCCAGCCCGAGGGACTGACCAGGTCCCTGGGGGTGGTCAGTGGGTGGGACAGCAGCTTGTCTGTGCCTCCCCAAGCCCCCACTCGAGCTGCCAGGACTGGGATTTGATCCCGTGATCGGCCCAGAGGAAACCTGTGGTGGGCTTCTCGGAAGGCTGCCCCGGAGGAAGTACCTGGGCAGGGAGATGCTTCTGGTGTCCAGGAGAGGGGCACGAGGGGGGCTGGTGGTCCTGCATGTCCGCTGTGGGAAGGCACTAACTTGGCCTATGATGGCCGAGTCCCTGGGGCTTGGGGGTGGGTGGGGCTTCAGCATCCTCTCTGGGAGCAGCTGGTCTTGCGGCCCCTCAGGGCGAAGTGCACACTCTGTTCCCCCTCCATGCTCTCCTGCAACCGGGCCACACCAGGGTTCCAGGGGAGGCTGGGGTCTGGGGAGGCGACTGTGGAGGTCAGCCACCTCTGGTCCTGGGGAGGCTGGGGTCTGGGAGGCGACCGTGGAGGTCGGCCACCTCTGGTCCTGGGGAGGCTGGGGTCTGGGAGGCGACCGTGGAGGTCGGCCACCTCTGGTCCTGGGGAGGCTGGGGTCTGTGATGGTGACCATGGAGGTCAGCCACCTCTGGTCCTGTGGAGGCTAGGGTCTGGGATGGCGACCGTGGAGGTCAGCCACCTCTGGTCCTGGGGAGGCTGGTGTCTGGGGAGGTGACCGTGGAGGTCGGCCACCTCTGGTCCTGGGGAGGTTGGGGTCTGGGATGGCGACCGTGGAGGTCGGCCACCTCTGGTCCTGGGGAGGCTGGGGTCTGGGGAGGTGACCGTGGAGGTCGGCCACCTCTGGTTCCTTCCTGAGCTTGGACACGGGCCTGTTTTTCTGCTTCCTGTTAAGAGATTGCCTGGCCTCCCTGCAGCCCTGCCTGCCTCCCAGTCTCGTCTCCTCTGCCCCAGACAAGCCTCTGTCCACCTTCTGGACTTCCCTAGCAGAGTGCTCAGACGGGTGTCCCCAGACGGCCCCCTTGCCCCTCCAGCTCTGGAACTTGGTGTTTGCATTTCACGCGCGAGCCTTCAAGCACGTGGAGCTGACTTCCATGTGTGGTGTGAGTCAGGGACTTCTGTCTCCATGGTGACAGCCACTGGCTAACAGCGTCTCTGTCCCCGTGCCCACCGCTCCGCAGTGTTCCCGTGCCTCTGTCCTGCAGGCGTGGGGGGTTTCTGGCTCCTTTCTCGTCAGTGAGTTCCGTGTTCCTGCGCCAGTGCCATGCCATCCGACGGCTGTAGCTGCGTCTTCCTGCGGACATGGCGGGCCTTGCCAGCCTGCTCTCCATCAAGGGGGTCTTGGCCGTCCCTGTCCCCACGCTCTTTCTCATAGCTGCAGAATCACCTTTTCAGGCTCCTTGAGAACTTGTTTAGATGGATTTGTATTGAATTTGAAGATCCGCTTGGGGAGCACTGACACCTTACGGAGGTTTCCACTTGAGCACATGGTCTCTCTCGCCCCGTTTATGGAGGTCTTGAAGATCTTTAAATAGTTTTCTCCATAAAATCTGGCCCATCTAGGGACCAGCAGATGGTGTAATGGTTACGTTGCCGGACTTCCACATAGTTGATCATGGTTCGAGTCCTGGACCCCGGCGACTTAAAATCCCGAGAGGAGAACGGAGAAGGGATTGTGGCATGCCCACCTGCCCCGGGAGGGTGATTTTTTTTGCTTTCGGTCTGTCTCTCTGGTGAGCACATGTGCCCAAAGCAAAAGAAATCTCTCTTTAAAAGAAAACCTGGCCCATCTTTTCTTTGCCGTCCCCAGGTTACCATTTTAAAAACAGGTTCTTGCTGTGTTGCGGTCCTCCTGCCTTGGCCTCCTGGGGCTGCAGGTGTGCACCTGGTGCCTGCTTCTGGGTGAGCTAGGACTCGAACCTGGCACCCGTGTGGCCTCAGCTGTGGGGCTGTGGTTGTGAGCACTGCCGTGGCTGGGTCACCTGGTTCCTTACGTCGTATTTCAGCTGCCAACGGTCCACTTGAAAAGTGCTGCGTTTGTCTCTCGAGAGACATTGCGTGTCTGCTGGTCTTTCAGTCATACCGTTTGGTAAGCTCGTCTTCACTCTGCTTTGTCGTTTGGGTTTTCCGAGTACAGCCCAAGGGCCTGGGGAAAGCAGCAGTTGGGTTTCTCGCCCCCTCCTCAGTTTTCTGCATCTCCCTGCACAGAGCTGGCGGCACCTGCAGTGCTGTAGAAGAGGGGCCCGATGGCGCATGGGGAGGGTGCGGCCTCTGTGGGTCGGCCCTCAGGGAGGGTTCCCAGTTCGAGTCCAGACCCCTCAGCCCCGCCCACACCTCCTTTCGTACCAGCAACAGGGTGGGCGGGGCCGGGGAGACTCAGGTTGGGGTGCCGCCTCTCGGTCTCTGCCTCCCTTTCTCTGCCTCTCTTGCTTATGGGAGAAGTAAACTTCAAAAGGAAAAAAAAAAGAGGTGGCTCTAGCAGGAGTCCTTTTTCCAGACTTGGAAAGCAATGCCGCCTAACACCGAGACCCTGAGCACACGCTCGCTGCGGGCCTTGGTACCTTCGTATTTTTATGTTACTGAAGCTTCCTTCGGCTTCTAGCTTGCTAGGAAGGGCCCTGAACTAGCAGGTGCTGCCTCCCGCGGTCGCTGGCCGGGCTTGTCCCCTCTGGACTGACCGAGGTGGCTGTCATGCTCCGTGGCCAGTGTCTCGGTCTCCTGTCTCCCGCTTGGTCATGCCTCAGGCTGGAGCACACGCGTGTTGGGTCCGGGCTCTCGCTGGGACATGAGCTCGGTCTCCGCAGTGGGGCTGGCCTTTCCTCGTCCTCCGCCCGTCTGGTTCCTGCTCTCGGGGTTCAGGCAGTCTTCCATACTGCATTGGGCCTTCTCCTATGTCCTTACTGCGGAAAATCAGGACTTACTGTTTGAAGGGTGGGTGGACTTGTCAAACAATCTTTTTCTGCTGTTTTACTTTGTTTAAAGGAGCGCAGTGGAGCCCTCATGGTGGTCCTGGTGGAACTGGGGAACCTGAGGCCAGGCACTGGTGGGTCCCCTCCAGGATGTCGTCTTGCTGAGACCTGGAGGCCGGGCGAGTTCACCAGGCTGAACGAGGGGGCGGGAGGCACAGGGGGCAGCGTGAAGGCTCAGGGAGTGGAGCCCGCCATCCCTAGCAGCACAGCCTCGGGCAGCGAAGGCTGGCAGAGGGTGTCGGCCTCGAACAGCCGCTCCCAGCCTCGCTCAGGGCAGCAGGAACAGAGAGCAGAGGGTGTCCCAAGGTGGCTGTTGCCGAGGGCTGTGCTCTGCGGACAGGCTGGGAGGGCAGGACCTGGGGGAGGGACAGCGGGCCGGGCTGGGCCACCGTGGACCTCCAGCTGCTGCCAGTGGCAGTGGTGAGGCTGTGGGGCCGCACAGGCGGGTGATGGAAGCACTTACCCAGAGGGGGCTGTGTCGGGGCCACTGGTCTGCAGCTCCTGTGACTTGCGGGTCTCCCAGTGGGGGCTGCTGGGTGCTGCCCACATTCCGGACTGTCCCTGGAAAGGGGGCTCCATGGTGGAGTGAGGCGTCCGGTCACAGTGCCCGGTGCACGCGTGTCCGGAAATCCTTACCCACTGTCTGGTTGCAGGAGACCAGCGCAGTGGGGTCGCCGAGGCCAGCAGCCTCCTGGGGGGCTCGCCGCGACGTCCGTGTGGCCGGAAGGGTTCCCCGTACCACACGGGGCAGCTGCACCCTGCGGTGCGCGTGGCCGACCTCCTGCAGCACATCAGCCAGATGAAGACAGCGGAGGGTTACGGCTTCCAGCAGGAGGAGGAGGGGGGCAGCCCGCCCGCCTCTGCCCGCCTCCCTGCCCTCCACGCGGCCTCAGCCTCGGCCATTTCCCGCTCACTCCCCGACCTGAAACCTGACCTGGCCGGAAGTGCTGACCTTGACCCGGCCCCAGCCTGCCCTTGGCCCTGACTCATCCCAAGCTCGGTCTGAACTCGGACTCCGTCTTCAACCCCCAGCCTGGACTTGGACACCGGCCTTGCCCTAGTTGTGCTCTGACCCTCACCCTAACCTGACCCGTGTTCTAAAACGCCTCGGCCTCCTCCCTGTCCCCACCCCTCATAGCCCTTGGCTTTGGACTGGGCCCTCGTTGATGAAGGGGTGCACAGTGACCTTATCTCAGGCCCTGAATCCTGCCCTGGGCTGGCCTTTCTGTCCTGCTCCCCCACCTGCTGCAGGGAGGGCCCCCCACTGAGCACCGCTTTCCTCCCCTCCGCAGAGCTTCTTTGAAGGCTGGGACCCCCCAAAGAGGAAAGACACGCTCGAGGGCTGGCAGGTGCCCCCG